CCTTTGTGTTTGCAATGTCTAATCCATTTTAACTAGTGCTAAATGTGTCATAAACGACTAAAGAAATATCCCAGATGATTTACTTACAAGGAGCTCCAAGGAAAATCAGCATATTGCACAATAAAAGCCATTGATAAAAGAGGGAATTCAGACCAAAACAACTCCTTAAATGGATGTTAAAATGGTTCAAGTTTCACATTTCACTTTTGGGCATTCAGGTATTTTCACCAGTTAATGTTCATTTATTATGTTGTTTTTATCTGTATCTCCAAATATTGTGGTGTGTAGCCTTTTTAGTATTTAATCAAATGAGGTAACAACATCAATAATAATAATAATCATCATCTTTATCATCATAATAATATATATGATGAGATTTTACCGGTTTTAACAAAATCTGTGACACATAATATGCTGTTTTTAGGTTGTACACTACATTACATTAGTTTAAGATTGATAGAAGAGAAGAGGAAGAAGATTAGAAGACTGATAGAAAGAAGATCTGTTAAGTTTTCTTTGAGTTTTCAGTTTCATGTTGATTCATGTTTTTCTTTGTTTTCGAGTTTTATTGGTTTAATTCCTATTTTTGTTGTGTTTTTGGATGTATTTGTGTTCTTGGGCTTATCTTTGTTGCCCTCTGCTGCCATCTTGTGTTGGTTTCCTTTTCCTTAGCTCTTTTCCTAGAAGCCTCTGTTCACACCTGCTCCCGATCAGCTCGTTAGTCCTCCCTTTTTTCAGTCAGCCTTAAATATTCTCCCTGTGCAGTTCCTCAGTGCTGGTTCCTCGTCTTACCTTGGCTCTCCATGTCTTTACCTGGCTCCTCATGCTTGTTTTCCCCTGATATCTCCATGGTTCTGGTTTTTGTTACAGTTTGAGTTGGATTTTTGGATTCCTGCCTCTGTTACCTTGGTTCAATCATTAAAACTGCAAGAACTCACCTCTGCCTCTCTGCCTCTGCATTTGGGTCCTCAAACCACAACCAAACCTGACAGACCAGGCAGAAGTCAGAAGAGAACTAGAAAGAAGAGAGGGTGGAGAGGAAAAAGACAGAGAAGCCTGAAGGTTGCCACAGGAAGAAAAAGGTTAATGGGATATATACAGTATATACTGTACAGTGCATCCACATATGCTTTTTTTTTATATACAGTAGTATGGTCATTATACAGGGTTATTGCACAAGGTGTTTACATGGGTAGATATATAGATGGATATTTATATTTACATAGTTATTGCACTGGGTGTCACATATAGAGAAACATTGCACAGGGTATCAAATAGTAAATTGCACATTATACATTGCACAAGTTATTGCCGTTGTAGTGTCACATTGTAGAGGCTGGTTGCAGCAGGGATGCATGACCTGTGGTAGCACCTCTTTTTACAAACAGTGTGCAAGTCTTTCAAAAAAGAAGCTACTCATCTCCTCTACAGTCTGGTGCAGAGGGTGGAAGGTGTTGTCCATGATGGATGTAAGCTTGGACAGCACCCTCCTCTCATCCACTTCCTCCACTTAGTCCAGAGTGCAGCCTAGGACAGAATACCAGTTTGTTCAGTCTCTCTCTGTCCCGCTCTTGACTGCCGGGTGCCCAGTAGACAAAAGCATAGAGGAGAGCTGATGCTACTACAGAGTCATAGAAGGTTTTAAGCAGGGGTCTGCTCACTCCAAAGAATCTCAGCCTCCTCAGGAGGTTGAGGTGGCTCTGGTATCGGTGTTATGAGTCCAGTCCAGTTTTTTATTGACATGAACACCCATGTATATGAATGACCAGATGGCAATAACACACTATCGACTGAGTAATTTTATTGATCTTAGGACATACTAACAGTATGGAGAGGCACATTGCTGAATTTTACACTTGATTTTTATAGTTTAACTATTAACCCTCTCCAGGCAGATGTTACAGATTTGCAACAATCAAATGCTACTTAGCTAATTACTACACATCCATATTTTAAGAGCTTTTCTTACTCAGAAGTACAACAGAAGGACTTAGTTGTGCATTTGCAACAGTTTCTCTCCAGCTCACCAGATGGCACTGTTGACTCACATTCAACATGGCTGAGTCCTTGGTGCCACTGAAGCCACTAAGCACCAATTTCATGTAAGTATCACTACCCAATTTCCATTATTTCAAAATCAATACTACATAAGATGAATCATGAATGTGTATAGATATGACACATGCCAATTAGTAGATTTGATCTCCTCTGCAGTGGCACGGGAAGGGGGGTGCTGCGGGGGCTGCAGCCTCCCTCGTCATAGCATCAGCCCCCCATGGTGGGGGGCTGTGGAGTAACATAATATTGTACTTAAAAACATGAAATTATTTAT